TTGACAGTACTCGGTGATCAAACTCGGGACCTCACACATGCCAGGTAGGCACTTACGCTGTTGAGCTATCTCCTGGCCCACAAATTTTTTTTTTTTAAGACAAATTGTTGCTCAGGAAAAAGTATACTTTAATGATTTTCAATGGATGAGCATTTTGTTCATCTCTCATTATGGTACTTACGTCGGCAGTTCGTCGTGCTTCTTTAATCATGGACTCTAGTCCACCAAAAACACTGTTTGTTGACTTGGAAGCCTCTCCATCAGATTCACTATCATCTGAATCATTCAGTGTCACGACCACTGACTTATGCTTAGGAAGCTACGAAAAACAATGCACTTATTACTCCTGAAAACCAAAGTAAGTGTATTCTTTTTTTTGCTGTACAACAAATGAGTGTGACCTTGGACACATCATTTAACTTCTATGAACTTTAATACATAAAAATAATGCAGCTTAACAAAATAATCTAAAGCTCTTTCTGATTACACTACATAACTGACTGTTTCCTAGCCTACCAGCACTGGTTATATCCCTAATGCAAAAAATATTCTGTATTCTTAAAGTCTAGACATTATTATCATCTTACTCATTACAGTACTTATCTTTCTATAAGGAACCATGCCATTTAATGTAACTTTTTAAAAATAAATAAAAATTTTATTAATAATATTACTTAATGTTAACCCAGCTATAGTCTCTGTGGTTACAAACAAGGCAAAACAGCTAATGTTGCAGCACCTAACAGAAACAAGACTACAATTTGACTTTGCCACATTTACTTTGTTTTAAAGCCATTAGGAAATAAGGTAAACTGCCAGTTCAGTCTTTTATTAAACTTCATAAGTTCTTCATTATACAGTCACTAGTATTTTAATGAGAACAAGTAATTCAAAAAATTATAGCAATAAAAATATACAACTTCTTAAAACTGACTCTAGGAAAGACACAATTTGAATGGACCAATTCTGTGGGGAAAAGTTGAAGAAAATGCCAAGGAAAAACTACCGCCCAGAGTAGAAAACTTTCCCAAATGTGATCAACAAGTTCCACATTTTCAAGTAAAGATGCTGTTTGTTTCTTTCTCTTTTTTTCTTTTTTTTTGGCAGAACCGGGGTTTGAACTCAGGCCCTTGCACTTGCCTTATTCTACTGAGCTATCTCCCCGGCCCGCTGTTCACTTCACTGATAAATTTGCTTTAAGATTTGTGTGCATATATTTGAATATAAGTGAAGTAGAAGGTATAGAACAGGGCAGCAAAACTTCATACAAATTTCTCACATTAAAAGTAGTATTAAATTTTACTTGTTTTTTACCGAGATCACAGTTCGTGGAAGACGAGGTCCTCTATGAAACTTTGGATTCTGTATCCTGGGCTGAGATACTGTATTAATACTGACTATTGACAGATTGCTTCTTGGCACAGGCTGTGAATTGTTCAGAACTGGAGGTGAAGGTGGATCACTGTTACTGGATGTTTCCTAAACAAGACAGATATGAAACGCTCCAAATGAAATTTCTGTTACTTTTAAAAACCCTAAGCAAATTATCATTACACTCATCCATCCACACTGGTCAAAAGCCCAGTAAGTCCCTAATAACCAGAAAAAGACTATCCTAAAATTAAGCTTAAGAGCACCACCTACAGGTAGGTTCAGGCACCTAAATTACCTCTGGCTTAAAAGCTCTTTTATTTGCTAAAGATTTCAGCAGTTCTTCCCGCAGCAGCATTTCTTCCTCTTCCTCCTCATCTGCAAAAGGTGGCTTTGGAGGCTGTTCTGGGTCCTCAGGTGGGAGAGGCGGCAAAGGCGGCAGAGGAGGTAACGGCTCAAGAGACGCGCACAAGCCTTCCGCGTAAGGCTGGCCCAGAGGAGGCAAAGACTAGTTTTTAAAAAGAAGTCATAATTAAAATAAAATTTTATCAATTGCAAATGTTTACCTCTGAAGCAATATTAAATTAGGAAAAAAGTAAACTTTAGGTTATTATTTTAGCTGAAAATAATACTAAACTCAATATACTACATATCGCAAAACAAGCCCAGAATTCAACAATCATAAAATGTACTACTTTTGCAATTAAAATTATTTTTTTTGAAACACTGATACTTTTTTTCATTTATGCATTTTGTACAGGGTCTCACTACATAGCAAGGCCTCTAAGTGATCCTCCTGTTTTCAGCCTCCCCTGCGCTGGGATTACAGGTATGCGCCACCATGCCCAGACTCCGTCACAGCTCAGCATGCCCCTGGGACGGGGCTGGTGTTGCATGTGGGACAGGGGATCGAACTGTGGTCCCTGTGCTTGCCAAAGCAGGTGCTAAGTCCACTGAGCTATCTCACCAGCCCCACTGATAAACTTTAAGGTAATTATACAAACATGTCTGTTCCCATTTTAACCTCCATTTAACATTTTAAGAATGATAGGAATCAAATTCCTATATAAAATGTTATACAGGAATGGAATGTTATTCTTTTTTTTTTTACAGAACTGGGGATTGAACTAAGGTCCTTGTACTTGCCAGGGAAGCGCTTATTCCACTGAGCCATCTCTCCAGCCCCAGGAATGTTATTCTTATATGGAAATAAGTAGAAATGTTGATACAAAAATAATATATTTAAATAAAAAATGTAAACTAAAAATTTTAAAACTTGAAAATTAAAAGTAGAACCAAATGACTCTGGGAAAGGGCCAGGGAGATGGCTCAGTAGAATAAGTGTTTCCCTGGCAAGCGCAAAGGACGGAGTTCAATCCCCAGTTCCACCAAAAAAAAAAAAAAAAAAAAAGACTCTGGGAATCAAGAACTCTGGCACCAAGAAGAATCACTACCACTGACTACATATACACAGAACAGCATTCTGGATACTATCTATGAAGGAAACCAATTTTACAAATTAAGTGTTTTTGCTTCAAAGATCTTCCAGCATCTCTCTACGCATTTAAGTAATTTGTTTCCCAAATCTTCCCCAAAAAAAATTTCAAAGAAAAGGAAAAAACATTTTCTCGTTCATTCTCTGTTCTAATATTTTCCCTTAACATATCAGAGCTATTTGATAGAGCTCTAACAAATGTGAAATGTAAAGAATCTTACCTATTAGAAGACATTTGGAGCTCTTTGTTGTTTTGGTTTGGTTTTTTTGGTACCAGGGATCAAACTCAAGACTGTGCACTTGCGAGCAATTTAATGCTAAGCTATCTCCCAGGGCCATATATTCTTTCTTAATTTAGAAAAAATTTAAGAACTCTTACACTGTATGATTCCCATTTCCTGGAGTTTTGTTTTTTCTGATTGTGTGTGTGTGTGTGTGTGTGTGTGTGTGTGTGTGTGTGTGTGTAAACAAGACAGTTCTTTTACAAGAGAGACAAAGAAATGAACTTCCACAGGCAATAACATTTTTTACTGGGCTTTCAAGTTTAAAATAACAGCATCTATCAACACAAGAGAATGGAGAGTCCCATAGAAGAATCTTGTTGCCTTAAAGCCCAATTTTCCCAAAAAAGTTAGTCCCGAAACAGTAGATAATTTTTATTTTGCCTTAGAGCAAATTTTCTGAGTACCTACTAGCTGAAAAGCAGAGAGAGAAGGAAACACAACACTCAGAGAAAGTGAACATAAAATTAAAGATTAGCTATGAAAATTCCAATGAACAGCTAGCTGGATAGTAAATAATCAGCTTAATTTTATATATTTCTACCTATTAATACCAATGAACAATTTTGGGTTTTCCCCCCCTTTTCGAGACAGGGTATGAAGTATGTACGTAACCCAGGTTGGCCTTAGAATTTACTATACAGTCCAGGCTGGCCTCAAACTCATGATGATCCTCCTGCCTCTGCTTCCCAGGTGCTAAAGTGCAGGTATGTGCCAACTTAGCTAGCCATGTTGATTTTTAAAGCCTCTTCAAACCTAACTATACATTAATTACATGCCAGTTTTTCAAAATAAATTAGAAAAGATACCATGTAACAGGGGCTGGTGAGATGGCTCAGTGGTCTAAAGCACCTACTTAGAACAAGCCAAGCTCAAGCAAAGCACAGAGACCTCGGTTTAATCCCCCAGCACCACATGCCCGCCCGCCCCCTGGTGGGCTGAGCTGGCCACACAATAGATAGATAAATAAATAAATAAATAAATATTTTTAAAAAAAAAAGATACCATGTAACACAATTTCTTGGACATCAAGTTTAACTTACAGAAACCTGAGGAGGTGGAGGCAAAGAAATAGATGGTGCTGGAGAAAAGTACCCCAATGAACATTCAGAAAAGAATGGTGGCTGCACTGGTGAAGGCGCTGTAAAAATAAAACACAACAAAAAAAGGTAAGACCTCAGAAACTTTCAATTAGAACACAATAAATGTTATGATTTGTTTGAAGAAAATACAAATATACTTTCATATAGGAAGTTAGAATTGTATCGATCTTGGACCAAAATTTAGAATCTCTAAAGAAACTAGATATATAACTAATAAAATTTAAACCAATCTAACACTTCTTCTTTATCCCAGTTGTCTTGTAACTTCATGCAGACATACCTACATACCTTAGGTTGGACTGACCTGAATAAACAGACCTTAAGAATATTTTACTTCTTAAAAATACAAGTATCTATGATTAATATAGAGAAAAATTAAAATCTAGGAAAGCTGAAAACACATTTTCTTTATGAATTTTTACAAAATTATTTTAAAAGCACAGATCATAAAGCTTTATTTTAAGATACGGTGTGTTAATAATATTGTCAATACTTGGGAATTACAATGAATAATCTCTAAGAACCTGAAAATAAAATGATTGACCACACACAGTTAAATTATGGAATAGCAACATTAAGATTATCAAAGCATCAGCATAAAACAATACTCTGAAAATAAGCAGTTTTGATAAAAATTGCGCAAATCAAGCATTTTGTTTTTTTCTAGTCTAGACACACAAAAGTATGACTTTAGATTTGATCTGGTTTCAGAATATGAGCAGCGAGAAATGTACTGATCATGTGATCTTAAAATACACAGGTCATGGAACACCAACTGCACTCTGCTGTGTGCCGCAGACCTATGCTTTAAATTACTGCGAGAACAGGTCTTACGTAGCTGTGAACATCATCCAAAGCCATGTCTCTGGCCCTCAAAAATACAACAGACTCTAGATCACTCAACCTACCTGACGTACAGCCCTACCAGGTCTAACCAGCCTTTCTAACCTAACCTGAGATGTCCCTAGAACTGCTCTCATTTCCAAATTCCTAAGACCATTACCACTGGAAAGAGTAGCAAAGATTAAAAGCAAAATGTGTTTTTATTCTTATCTAAAGAACACAAAATAGCAGAAGAAAGAAAAAAAGATGCAGAACTTCATTCAAACAAATCAACAGGAACTCAACAATTGTTGCTATATTGCATAATGTTGTCTTCAAATTAGTTGTTCAGATTACCAGATATAGGCATGCAACATTGGGGGGTGGGGGATAAGTTTTAAGAAATTAAAAAGGACAAAGAAAAATTAAAGCATCAACTGTTCCCCTGTGGACTTTTCTTTTTTTTTTTTTTTTTTTTTTTTTTTTTGGCAGTACTGGGATCAAAAAATGGGACCTTATACTTGCCAGGCAGGTACTTATGCTAAGCTACATACTCTGTAGACATTTATTTATTCATTTATTTACTTACTTTTTATGAAAGCAGAAAGAAACCTGGCTATAAAGATCACGGAGTTGTTTCAAAGAACAAAGTTTTCATCATTCCCACAATCTTCACTTTTTAGATCCAGTTAACAAAGTTTTTTGTTTTCATTTATGTATCTGGTACAGGATCTCACTACATAGCTCAGACTCATAGTGATTCTCCTGTTTTCAGCCTCCCTGATGTAGCAACTACAAGCATGTGCTACCATTCCTGGACTTGGGGGCCAGCTCAGCATGCCTTGGGTGCAGGGCTGGAATGGCACGCAGGACAGGAATCAAACTCTGGTCCCTGCATTTGCCAAAGCAGGCACTTAGTCTGCTGAGCTATCTCGCCGGACCCAGCTAACAAACTTGTACAATGCTTTTTTATTTAAAGGTTATCTAGGAAAAGGTACTGGAAATAAAGATTAATATTATACATTTGAGGCTTGCTCCCTAAGCATTTATAACACCAAACAACTATGGTTACAAAATTTACCAGCAAACCTATTTCACACGCAAAAAAAAAAAAAAAAAAAAACCTATTTCACAACAAGTTTCTTTCACAGTTTAATGATCATTTTCTAATAACTTTAAATATATGTTTCAAGTTTTGGCTCATACCTGGAGAATTAGTTTCACTATCTGTATCCATAGCAACTTCTTCATAGTTATCATATTGATAAATTCCTCCTCCACTATCAGTAGGTTGCTTATCTAAGGATCGCCTCAGGTCAGGATCTGTAGACTAAGTACAACACATTTTTGTTAGTGTTGAACCTTAGGCTACAAATCATAAAAGAACTGATAATTATTTTCTCACGAAAACAGTATCAAAAATCATGATTTAGTTAAACTTACTATATTTTGTAAATTTCAACTTATATGACAGGTACACTGTCCTGGACATTTTATTAATGCAGCATCAGACAGAATGAATCTTGCAAGTACTATCCATACAGATGAAACCCTCCATTGTTAGCCAAGCCACTAAATAATTAGCTATTTCTCTATAAATAAGATTATACTAAGCTCCTCAATATTTATGGCTTCTGTCATAAACTACAGAAATAAAACAGTAGTTTTTCACCAAGATTATGTGTTTCCCAAAAGACGACAAGGCATTTCAATTAGGAGTAATGATAACTGAAAATTTTAAACTCGGGGTCCATGTTTGGGTAACTCTGCTGTTTTCTAGTTCATTTTTGGCAGGGCAGGGGATGGTACTGAGAATTGAACTCAGGACCTTGCACTTTCCACTGAGTTATATCCCCAGCCTGTGCGTGTTGTTTTATTCTTATGTTTCACTTACAGAAATAGTTTATGTATAACAAATAAAACACTAGCAAAACCTATCCAGATGGAGATGAAAGAGGAATATTCAAATCATTCAACTATTAGAAAAGTCTATAAAAGTGCTTTTGTTTTGTTTTTTGAAAAAGGGTCTCACCATGCAGTTTAGGTTGGTCTTGAACTCACAATGATTCTCCTGCTTCAGCTGAGTGATGGGAACCCAGCTTTGAATTGCTTTTTAAAAGTTCCAAGTTGATATTTGTAATATTCTTTGCTTAAACAAACTGAACTCTTCACTCCTTCCAAATAAAGAACTGCTACTCTTTGCTATCCCTATAATTTTCATGAGCACATTCACTTAGTGTACGTAAAACTCAAAACTCCTGAAATACTGCCACTAAAAGCACCAGATCAAGATTAAATCTCCAGTATACTTCCTGGCACCATGCATAAAAAACAATGACTTTCAGTCATTATCAGTAACCTATATAGTAATGGTCAACAAATGCCTGATGTGTAAATACTAAATTACCACAGGATGATTTAATATTTACAACAGTCCCTAAAAATCATGGCACATTTCTCATTCTCCATCACTAAATAATGAAAACCTAATGAAATTCTGTCCCTAGTAAGAAACGTCTCTTACCAGAATAAGTCTTTACCACAATCCTAACTTTTTTCTAAACGGAAAATGGCCAAAATGCTAAAAGCTGTCTTTTCTAATCATAAAAAAAAAAAAAACATTTCTTTTTGCTAACCAAAATTTTAACTTCTTATAATATGTGTATGTATAAAAGACTCATTCTCAATTACACCTCATTTTCCCCCAAGAGTTACTTATATAAGAAACCCTACCAAACACAAAGGACTTACAGGTTGATTTATAAGACTACAATGACACTTAATTTTGTGCAATGTTTTGATTTTACACTTTTACAGTTCTTACTTTACTTCTTGATCTCCTCTTTCCACCAACCAATTTCATGAATCTATTGTATTGCTCTTCTTGATTTGAGAGATCTCGAATTTTTCTGATTTCTTCTTCCCTTTTTCTTCTCTCTTCTTCTTCAGCTTGTTTCCGTTGGTCCTCTTCTTTCTGTCTTTCCTGCTCCTTTTGTTGCTGTAGTTTCTTCCATGCCTTTGTTTGCTGCTTCCTCAATGCTTGTTTAGCTTTAAATAAAAATGAACATGGGGGCTGGAGAGATGGCTCAGTGGTTTAAAGCCCCTACTTGGAACAAGCTTGGCAAAGCACAGGGACCGCAGTTTGATCCCCCAGCACCACATGCCAGCCAGCCGCGCCCCCTGGTGGGCTGAGCTGGCCACACACACACACACACACACACACACAATAAATAAATAGTTAAAAAATTTAAAAATAAATACAATAAAATTTAAAAATGAACATGGATAGCAGTTACACAGCTAAAATTTTACAAGACCCAAGAGGTCCAAAAAGTATCTTCACTGACTCATGTATACAGATTCGCCTCTTAAATTCTGTTCATATAGGATTATTCCCCATTTGGGGAACACTAATTCCTCAAACTCAAAACATCCTGAAACTCAAAACATCTTTAAATTATAATGACACAAGAATTGAACTAAAATAACAGAAATAATCACCTGTAGTGCTAATTTTTTTGGCTGAATGTGTTTTTGTACTGGTTTTAACTTTCTGCTGGGCAGTTTTTGTCTTAGTCAACTTTTCTTTGCTTTCTTTCATCACTTGCTGTTCTTTCTGTTGCCATTTTTTACTGGCTGACTGAAGAGCCAAAAGTCGAAGCTGTAATTCCGAGAGCTCCTCTTCATCTTCTCCAACTTTCTTTAATTAAAAAAAGTAAAAATGTTAAGTTGGATCATTCAACCTTACATTTTATTAAATCAAATATTTTATTAGAATTTAAAGTTAGCTTTGAGGCAAATATTTAAAAGGCAAATATGGAGGAAATAAAGCAACTAATTCACTTCCTATACTCCACAACCATAATTTAAGCAGGGCCTAGTGGCACAGGACTATAATCCCAGCACTCAGAGAATCACTACAAGTTCTAGAGCAACCTGGGCTACAAAGTAAGCTCAAGGACAGCCTCAAGTGCAGAGTAAGACTCTGTCTCAAAAAGAACCCCCACACAAAAAGACCCTAATTTAATTCCTCTAACATAACCACAGTAGATCAACATGTCAGCAGTATGTGTACAGATACAAATGCGCAGGACTGGAAGAGCAGAGTACAATTAACAGAACAGGATCCAAAACTAAAAGCTTACACAAGTTAAACAGTACCTGTCAGCTATCCAAAATTGAAAGAGTAAAGCAATGGCAATAAATGCAAGTGGTCCTGTCATCATGTGAGTTATTTATTACTCACAAATGACAGACAGCACAGATACAATGACTGTCAAGATTCCAATTTGTAAACTCAAAAATACATTTTTAATTTTTAAGAGCTTTATAATGTTGAGTGAAATAAAAGATATACAAGTTTAAATACCATATAATATCACTCATTTGAGGCAAAGTACAAATAACGAAAGATGGCTAGAAGGGGACCAGAAGATAGACCTCTTGCAATGGAAAATGGTCCATGGGAAAAAAGCAAGAGGAGTTCAGAAGAGTAAAAGGGGAATTAAATAGCATAAAGATATGCCATGTACAAGAACCTAATAACCACAATTCATGTAAATATCAATGCTATCAACAAGAATGAAAAATGGGACAGGGAACTAGGGTGGGGGAAGGGCATTAAACAACAACAAAAAAAGACACAAGCTGTGGTATGCATTGCAGTGTATACTATTAACCATTCTCCAAGATGACTGTACACTGCATAAACTGAAAATATGCACTAACAAAATGAAAACAATTTTTTTAGTGATGAAGGAACAAATTTGTAGGGACTGCTTACATTTGAGTATTTTATGTTGTAAAGCTAGACATTTATCTGAACATTTAAAATATCTGAATACTTCAGGCTTCCTCGAGGAAACTAAAAAATGAAGACATGATAAAAGCACATGTTTGGAGGGCCGGGGAGATGGCTCAGTAGAATAAGCGCTTCCTTGGCAAGCGCAAGGACCTGAGTTCAATCCCAGGTTCCAAAAAAAAAGCACATGTTTGGGAACTTTCTCCAACCAAAATAACTCCCTAATTTTTTCATTCAAACTTTTAAAAATTAATGTTTTAAACTAATGTGTAAGAAAAAATAAAAACAAGTCAATAAACTGATACATAAAAAATAAATGGGGTAGGCACCATGCTGTGCTCTGGTACATTATCCACTGTATAATGTTTCAACAAACATTAAATATACCTATTCAAACATAACTCCTTTATGGTGAAATCCTTTAGGATTTTTGAAACACACTACGGAACTGTTCCCTAATGTTGCTCTACTATGTGATAACAGCACATAATTTTACTCCCAACTGCAGATTTGTGTTCATGGGTTAACCTTTCCCATTCCACTCTCCTCCACTTTTTAGGGAAAAACTTAAAAATTGTATCTATTCTCCACATTTAGTTAAAATATAACTGACAATGCCAGGCTATCTAAAGTAGAGGTTCTTAATTGGAAACCAAGTATTTGTCAAAGATGTGGGGAGTTTGAAAAGGCCTTTAAAATGTTGCAGAAGGAGTGAAGACTTCAGTCTAACATTGCAAAATGTTAAGGCTGCCTTGTAACTTTTTCTTATTGGTCAATTGTAATCATATTTTTCTTCTAGAATCACATTCTTACTATTACTAAGCATAAAGAACATAGGGAGCTCTATCTAATGGATTCACCTTAATATTTACTACCATGAATCCTTTAGTACTTTAGTTAACCATACTGTTACCCTTACCATTATAAAGAACTACAAGTAAATAATACATTTTAAAATTAACAGGGCCGGGGAGATAGCTCAGTGGCATAAGTGCCTGCTTGGCAAACTCAAGGTCCCAAGTTTGATCCCCAATACTGGATGGATGGATGGATGGATGGATGGATGGATGGATAAGAGACAGACAGACAAAATTAACATGATTCTTATCTGAAACATACCAAATTGTATTCCTTGGTATTGAAATGGTACACCTGTGCTAGCCAATATGGTAATACTCAACCACATGTGGCTATTTAAACTTAACTAAAATTGAATTTAACAACTGTACTTAAGATATACCAATCTGTTTTAAGTTTTTAATAGCTATGTGTGGCTGACAACTACCATAATTGAAAGGAAAGCTATGGAATATTTCCATTAATGTAGAAAATTCTACTCGAAGCCACTCTTGATCTAGAGTATAACTTCAAAAAAATTATCAACACCGTCCCACTGAGATTTTGCAACTACAGTGCTTTGTTGAAACGACAGAAAGAAATCATTGGGCTGACCAGCGGACTACAGTGTCTACTTATGCAGGTGCGGCAACTGGTGCGCAGAGACTGGCGTGCTATGCCTACCCTGCCCTCTGGGCATGCTGAGCCAGTGACTGAGATTGGGCGTGGTGGCGCATGCCTGTAATCCCAGCGCTTGAGAGGCTGAAAACAGGAGGATCACTACAAGTCTGATCTATGAGACCCTATAGACCCTACAGACCCTGTACTAAACACACACACACACAAAGAAATCACTGCGTCTGTTATACAACTAACTCTATGCTATCTAAAACAGCTATGTGTATGAGTATTGAACCAGGAATTAAAGAACCTTATTCAATTATTACTCTGACACTTATTCTCTACATTACTTTAAGCAAGTCATTTAATCTACCCAATGAATCTTACTTCATCTATAGGACACATATGATGTCAACTTGATAGGATTATTTTAAGAACATTAAAGACTTGTTTATGAGTATGTATCTGTATGTATAGCCATCCAAACTTCTGTGTATCTGTCCTATCATTCTTATTAAATCCAGAACTATCTTTCCTAAAGCTCACTGGCTCTTTTTTTTAGCCCCCCCCCCCACTGGCTCTTTAAATCATTTTAATTTATTCATAGCAACAAACTGAAATCTCTAAAAAGGAAAAAGCTTGAGTGATTGAGTTCTGTTCTACAAGTTAAACAGTTTCTAATGCTTCTGTACTTCAATAAATTGAAGCTTTGCAACAATCCGGGGAACTCAGGACATTAAACCCATTTTGGAGAAAACTAAAAAGACAAGCAATGGATAAATACCTCATTTAGCTAATAAAGAGGAGTCACAATTTGGTGTCAGATCAAAGTTTCACAAAGAACAATCCACAAAAAACTCAGAGAAAAAAATTTCTTGATTAATTTTAAAAGTTTGAAAACCCAAACAACAAAGATTATCTATAGATACATATAAAGCTTCAGTGCAATATAATTTGCAGAATCCCAGTGGCGAAAGACTCCAAGACAGCTTTCAAGAATTTATCTGAAGGTTTATAATCATTACAAAGTCGATGCAGCAACAAAAGAAAAGGTCCCAGCAGTGCCAATATCAGTCTCACAGAGAGCCAATCTCAAAACACAGTATCTTACCTTTTCAGACAGAATATCTGAGGTACTAATTCTTCTTAAATTTTGTTCATCTTCTAATCCTTTAAAATAAAACAGCATCTTTTGAAATACTCTAAAAGATACCCACAATCAATCTAAAATAAAATAATGCCATACAGTAGTTAGTATTATTTTAAAGGGTTATCATTAGAGGGTCTAATTTGCTCAATATTATGTCCAAAAGAAAAGAATGCCATTAAAGGGAATAAAAATCTAATCAAGCCTCCCATAACAGCCTCATTCTGAAACTTACCAGGCAAAATTATCTAAGTATTAAATAAATTAAAACTACACTCAAATAAAATAGTCTGTGAACTAAAAATAAGCATGTCAAATAAAAACAAAATTTATGCAGTAGGTAAAAAGCAAAATTACCAAACTATCTAATATTCTATTTTTGGCAGAATATTACCATTAAACTAATTTAGTCTTCTAAAGGTGAAAGGAATTCAACATTTAAAGACTACATTGGATTTATACATTACAGAAGCAATTTCCTATTTACTTAGGAAAACACCAGGAGAGTATAATCTAATGAAATTAAATCCATCCACATTTTCCTCAAATTTTAGGCTTGAGCTCAGATTTCTGAAGTAGTATATTAAACTTTACATATTATCTAATCTACAACAGCTTTAAAATGCAGAATCCAGTATATTTACAATAACACTTGGCTACTATTTTTGTTAATAGATGAATTTAAAAACTAGGAAATCTCTCAGGATGGATCACCATTAGTTGGAGGCCAGGCAGGCCTACATAGTGAGTTCAAGGCCAGCCTGAATTTGCACAGTGAGATCCTGGTTTGTCTTTGTTTTTAAAGAGACAGTAAGAATACTTTAGGACACAAAAACTTAACAAGTTAAGACAGAAAAATTCATTAAAAGACAGAAATGGAAAAATCAGAAAAAAACCACTAAATATAATAAAGATATCTATACATCACTGCTCTGTACTACGGGCCCCTCACATGCATTTTAAATCTCCTCCCTCCTACTATTCACATCCCTAACTTTTCTTTAGTAGTATAGCCCTCTCTCTTATGTCCCCAACAGATCAGGCAGCCTGCATTAGTTATTAAGCTAGTTCAGTGATTTCTAAACTTGAGCATGTTGTGCCAGAAAACAGAAGGGATGGTTAAATATAGCCTGATGTTACCCATTCTCAGACCTCACAATCAAGTAAATCTGGGGAAAGATATGACCTAATGACCATCGTTTGAAAATGAGTGTTCTCTCTGCCTGGAAACCTCTTCTTCAAATATCCACTTGGCTATCCTATCACTTCAAAGTCTGTTTAAATCTCACATTCAAATTGAGAGCTACTTAAATCAACCTATTAGTGATGCAATTAGTTGCCTCTATTCCCATCCTACTTACCCTGCTGTACTTCTCTAAGAGTTAACTTACACATCAGCTTTACTGTCTTTCCTTCTAAAATGAAAGCCTATGAAGGCATAAGTAACTATTGGGAAAGAGTGATACACACATGTAGTCCCAGATAAAGAAGTCCCAGATAGAAGAATGAGAAAGAAAAATCATTTGAGCCCAGAAGTTCAAAGCCAATTTGTGCAACAATGAGACCCTGCCTCTAAAAGAAAAATAAAGGCAAGCCTATGAGAGCATAAATCTGCTTTGTTCAATAATGAACCTCTAAAGGCCTAGAACAAAATGCTCAACTAATTTGTGAATGAATGGGAGAAAGAAGTGAAAAGCACCCACTGAATTGTACAACTCGGTTATATATAATCTTGCTGTGCAGTTTCATTTTTGCTATGGGGACAGAAAAGTAGACTATACTGGATTAACAAGGGAATAGGAAATGAACAGGCGCAGGCCAGCTTTTCCAAAAATCTCATTGTAAAAGAGGAAAAATACTTGACAGAAGTTAAGGAAGAATACACAATGAAGGAGGTGGCATTTGAGTTTTTAGATGAAAAAGTCAAATATGTTTAAAATAAGAATACCTAAAGGGAAAGTGGCTAAAGATACAGCAAAATAAATAAGAAATAGGACAAAAGGGCCATCATTTTCTTACAGAAAAATTTTCCACACTGATGCCAGTTCTTCTATCTAAAACACACAACTGGGGGCCAGGGAGATGGCTCAGTGGAATAAGCGCTTCCCTGGCAAGGGCAAGGGTCTGAGTTCAAACTCTGGTTCCACAAAAAATAAATAAATAAATAAATGAAACACACAACTGATCACACTGTTTCCATATTTGAAGATGTTATGACAACCCACCCAATGTTTAAAAAAAATAAAACTCAAATTCCTGAATAAGAATTTCCATGTTGTTTTCAATTCAGCTCTAACGTGCTATAAACATATCCACTTTGTCCTAAAATCATACCCTACAGACCACACACACACATTTGATCAATCTCAATATCCTTAAAAGGTCCTGTCTGTCTGTCCATTCATTTGGTTCTAACTTCCTAAATGGAAAACTCATTCTTCAAGATGCTTATCAAACATGATCATCTCTGTGAAAACTTCCTAAATCCAAGTGAGTATATTTGATCCTTTCTTTTTACACTGTAGGCTTTCACGCATAACTCTCATTCTATTCTTCGATAGTTATTTGTATGGCTTCTCAGTCTTCATAGATTATGCTTTTCAAAACTGCCTGTATATAAAATTCAAACTTCTAACTTCTCTGCAGAAGGAAAAACCATGTTCCTGAGAATATGTAATCAAAACTGGTCATTAATCAGGCTTGCATCAAATTTACATCATATGGGTGACCCTTTAAAACTTCACATATCAAATTACCCCAGAGCAATTATCGACCATCATAAACCAAGTATGGTGGCATATGCCTATAATCCTAGCACTCAGAGACTGAAGCAGGAGAACCTCCAAGTTTGAGCCCAGCCTGCCTCAAAATATAAGATTCGGTCTCAAAAATGCAGAAAAAGGGCTGGAGAGGTAACACAGTGTGGAGGTCCTTGGTCAATCCCCAGTACTGGGGGAAAAAATAACATAGAATCCACATTAAAAAATTGACAAGGGGCCAGGGAGATAGCTCAGTGGAATAAGCACTTGCCTGGCAAGCTCAAGGACCTGAGTTCAATCTCCGGTTCTGCAAAAAAA